TTTTTTGGTTTTTCTCCGGTACCAGGAACCGAACTCATGACCTTGCGCTTGCCAGGCAGGCGCTTTGCCACTGAGCTAAATCCCCAGCCCTATGCTTAACTTTTTGAGAATCCACTATACTGTTTTCTATAGTGGTTGTACCATTTTACAATCTCCCCAACAAGGCAAAAGAGTTCAAATTTCTCTACATCCTTGTCAAAACAGTATTTGATATTTTCTGGTTTTGTTCTGTTTTGAGACAGGGTTTCACTATGTAGTTTAGGCTGACCTTCAACTCACTATGTTGCCCAGGCCAGTCTTGAACTCAAGGTTATCCTCCTGCCTCAGCCTCCTAAATGCTGGGATTACAGGCGTGAGCCACCATGTCCGACTATTTTCTGTTTTTAAAAATGGTTTCCATTTTCAGGGTTGTGAGATAAAATCTTGTGATTTTTATTTCTCTAACGATTAGTAATGCTGAGCAGATTTTCATGTACTCGTTGGCCATTCATTTATCTTCCTCAAAGAAATGTCTATTTAAGTCTTTTCCCCATTTTAAAAATTGGGTTATTTTTGTTGTTCTTTGAGTTGTAGGAGTTCTTTATATATTATGGATACTAATCCCTTATTAAATATAAAATTTGTAGATATTTTCTCTCATTCTGTGGGTTGCTTTTCATGCTGTTGCCCATATCCATTTATACAAGGAAGTCTTTAGGTTTGATACATTCCCATTTGTAGACTTTTGTTTTTGCTGCCTCTGCTTTCAGTGTCATAGCCAAGAAACATTTGCTCAGTCGAATGTCATGAAGGGTTTCCCCTAAAGTTTTGTAGTTTTGAATCTTATGTTTTGGTGTTTAATCTATTTCAATGAATTTTTGTATGTGGCATAAAATAAAACTCCAGCTGGGCATAGTGGTGCATACCTGTAATCCCAGAACTCAGGAGGCTGAGGCAGGAGGATTGTTTCAAGTTCAAGGACCGCCTGGGTTACAAAGTGAGTTCAAGGCCAGTCTGAACTGCACAGCAAGACCCTGTCTCAAAAAGACAAAATAAAATAAAATAAAACTCCAATTACATTCTTTGTGTAAACTTTTTTTTTTTTTTTCTTTTTGAGACAGGGTCTCACTATGCAGTTCAGGCTGGGCTTGAGCTCTTTTTGTAGCCCAGGTTGGTTTTGAACTTGCAATGATCTTCCTGCCTCAACCTCCCGAGTGTTGGGATTACAGGCATGCGCCACCAAGCCCCGATCCTTTCTTTCT